TGCACGATACATTTTAAAATGAATAAGAGGTCACTAGTGAGGACATTTAAAGTCAACATGAAATGGAAGTTGGGTAGTCTTTTTGTCCCTATTGTGACATATCTACGGAGCCTATATATTATATACTATATCTTGGAGTGAGATATAGGAGTGAGAATGCGTTGGACACTGACACGACCAGGTGTAAATATCTTAACCAGCGACCAGCATCAAAAGTCGCATTAATGTAATACTTCAGATCCATTTTGCCATTTTGCATGGCGGACAGTCGCAGAATCACTGAACCGGCTAGAATACTAACAAACGGAGATCTGAATGATGCCGCCAAGAAAAAATGTAACCCAACCCGACGAGGTGGATGAAATTAAGAAATCTCTCGACTTTTTATCAGCGGAGATTACAAAAATCGCAGCCCAACAAAATAAGATCATGGAGCTGATGGGAGAAATTCAAGTGCTTAAAACGCAGAACAAGGAAAAGGATAAAATTATAACTTTCCTGGAGAATCGAGTGGCCGATCTTGAGCAATTTACCCGGAGTAACGACCTCATTGTCAGCGGCTTGAGGACCAAACACCGGAGCTATGCCAGAGCGGTCATGGCGTCGGAGGATGTCGATACGGGAAGGAGTGGGGTCGACTCCTCGGAGGAAGATCGTGAGTCGCTGGAGCAACAGGTGCTGCGTTTCATGGACAGTAAGGGTATTTCCATTAACAGCGGAGATATCGAAGCCTGTCATACCCTGCCCAATAAAATCAAAACGGCTACACCTGCAATAATAATCCGGTTTACCAACAGGAAGAAAAAACATGCACTCCTTAAACAAGGGAGGAAGCTAAAAGGGACAGACGTATACATCAATGAACACCTTACTAAGAAGAACGCGGAAATTGCAAGAAGAGCACGAATACTAAGAAAACAAAACAAGATCCAAGCAACATGGACTTCCAACTGCAAAATATTTATCAAGTTAAACGGATCCACACCAGAGGCAGCGAAAGTGCTCATTATCAGAGATGTCGCTGAGCTGGATAAGTTTGTGGAATAAAATCGACAGGAACAATGCAGGTAACTGAATAAACACTGAACAAAATACTTCATGAACTTCCACAATGACCTCGAACAGAAACCACCTATTTACAAAGTACGAAAATCTGAAATTAAAATGTTTTGAATTTACTGATTACAAAGCAAAAGACATTGAAAATGAAATCGATCCTGAAAATAACTTTTATAAGGACTTGCAAAGTCAATGCGAATATTATACAGAAAAACAATATAGGAGAAATATAATAATGGATGGATCAATGTCAATCATACATTTCAATAGTAGGAGCCTTAATTCAAATTTAGCAGGAATTAAGCATTGTTTAAATGAATTAGAAAGGAAATTCACAGTTATTGCAATATCAGAAACCTGGCTTGATGATGAGCAAATTGACGCAATTGAAATTGAGGGATATGAAATGTTTTCTGTTCATAGGACCCAGTCTAAGGGAGGGGGGGCTGCACTATTTATTGATAAAATGTATAAATGTAAAGTTGTCAGTAACAAGTCATTTGTAATGGAAAATATTATGGAGTGTGTCACTGTAGAAATTGAGAGAGAGAAAGAAAGAAATATTCAGATAAGCTGTATGTACAGAAAACCAGGATCTTGTATTGATACATTTAGGGAAAAGATTGAGGAGTTGTATAATAGACATAACAACAAAAAAATTCTGTTTGTTTGCGGTGATTTCAATGTAGATTTGCTAAATCCGCAACAACATAATTCAACTACAGAATTCATCAATTCAATGTATAGCAACAGCTTATACCCTACAATTACACGACCAACTAGAATAACAACTCACAGTGCCACACTAATTGATAATATATTTACAAACGTTATTGACAGACCGGTTTCAAGTGGCCTAATAATAACTGACATTAGTGACCACTTGCCAGTATTTGCAATTATACAAAACTGTATGCAGAAGAATAAAGATATTCCTATAATTATGATGAAAAGAAATAAAACACAAGATGCTATAAATTCTTTTAAACAAGATCTTTTGAGACAAGACTGGAAAAGTGTTTATGTGAGTGATGTCAATTGGGCCTATGAAACATTTATGACAATCATATCAGGATTATATGACAAGCATTGTCCTCTAGCAAAGAAAATTGTAAAGCAAAAATATGTTGAGAAACCATGGATATCAAAAGGAATAATAAATGCATGTAAGAAGAAGAAGTTATTATACAAAGAATTCTTAAAGAGAAGAACAATGGAATCAGAACAAAAATATAAACTATATAAAAATAAATTAACAAAAATTATAAGATGCTGTAAAGTTGATTATTACAGTAATTTATTAGAGGATAATAAAAATAATATTAAAAAAACATGGGATGTCTTAAATGCTATCATTAAAAAAAATGGGAAAAAAGAATATCCAAGTTACTTGTTAGCATCGAATGATACAGAAATCACTGACAGGGCTTCAGTTGCTGGGGAATTCAATAAATACTTTGTCAGTGTTGGTTCAAGACTAGCGAGGGATATTCCAAAGACGGGTAGTAGTGATGGAGTAGAATGTAAGAAGTTATTTGTGGAAGAAACAATGTTTGTAAGAGGGACGGATGAAGAAGAACTTATTGATATTGTAAAAAAATTGAAGAGTAAGAAGTCTACTGACTGCTATGACATTGATATGTGTACAGTCAAAAGTATTATTGAATCTATAGCAAGACCCCTAACCCATATTTGCAATCAGTCTCTACAAACCGGTGTCTTTCCAGATAAAATGAAGATAGCTAAAGTAATACCAATATATAAAACCGGAGATAGACGTATACTACAAAACTACAGACCCATCTCGTTGCTTCCACAGTTCTCTAAAATATTGGAAAAAATTTTTTTTCAGAGACTGGATGATTTCATCGCCAAACATAGTATTCTATGTGAGCAACAATATGGGTTTAGAGCTGGCAGATCAACTTCTCTTGCAATGATAGAATTCATAGAAAAAGTTACAAACGCAATAGACAGAAAACAATATGCAGTTGGGATATTTCTAGATCTTAAAAAAGCTTTTGAAACTGTAGATCATAAATTATTGATTAAAAAATTACAACGATACGGCATTAGAGGAATTGCACTGACATGGTTGTCCAGTTACCTGGAGAACAGAAAGCAGTATGTTGAAATACAAAACAATAAATCACAACTGTTGCAGGTTACATGTGGGGTGCCACAGGGTTCAGTGTTGGGGCCATTATTATTTAACCTCTATATAAATAATATATGTGAAGTATCGCAAATTGTAGAAACCATTCTTTTTGCTGATGACACAAATTTATTGTGCTGTGGTGAAAATTTGGAGAAGCTACTGGATACCATGCGGAAAAGGAAGTGAGTAGGATGAAGATTTGGTTTGATGAAAATAAACTAACATTAAATCTGAGTAAAACTAAATTTATAATATTTGGGAACCGATCAACTGACACGGATAAAAAACTAATGATAAATGGTATAGAACTAGAGCGAGTATCTGAAATAAAATTCCTCGGGGTAGTTATTGATAACAAATTAAGCTGGAAACCTCACATAAACTATATTAAAAACAAAATATCCAAGTCATTGGCAATATTAAATAAGGCTAAAGATTTATTGAATAAGGCTTCTCTAAATATGTTGTACTGCTCCTTCATACTCCCGTACATGACTTATTGTGTGGAAGTATGGGGGAATACTTACAAAACAAATACACACCCAATCTTCATCTTACAAAAAAGGGCTATTCGAATCATACATAAAACTGCATACAGAGAACCAACAAACCCATTGTTCATCAAACTCAAAATATTAAAGTTCAAAGATCTGATTGATTATAAAATTATTCAAATTGTTTTTAGAGCTCACAACAACCAATTACCTAGAAATATCCAAGAGCTTTTCCAATTACGAGAAAATACATATAATTTTAGAGGAATATCAATGTTTAGTAGACCGCAGATTCGCACAAACACTAAGTTGCACTGTATACCAACCCAGGGTGTTATACTGTGGAACAGTAGCAACAATGATTTAAAATTATGTAAAAACTTATTGCAATTGAAATATATGTTTAAAAAAAGAATCCTTGATGGATATGAGCTGGAACAGTGATTTTCTTTTTTTCAACCTTAGGTAAAGTAAACCTTAGGTAAGTTATTTTAAGTAGTTAAAATATTATTGAAGTGGGGATAGGACAAGAAAAGTTATTCTAACTTCTTCCTACCCCCTTTGAACATGATTGTTGTTTGGACCATCTGTAGATGATCTTTTTTCTTGATGTTGATGATTAACTATTTATTTTTACTTTTAATTCAGTTTTTGCTGTTGTGTTTTTTTTTTTTTTTTTTTTTTTAACATGTTCAATAAAGAATTATGAGAATTATGATGAGATCTTGGTGGATAACATTTTTAAAAACTTTTTTTTTTTTTTCAAATATTTTACGTTCCCCCGAGAAACTTTGTGTTCCCTCGCAAAACTTGTGCATTCCTTCACAAAGATATTTGCATTCCCATGCAAAACTGTTCCATTCCCTCACAAAGGTATTTGCGTTCCCACGTTATTTTTGAATAATGAGGGCACATGAATTTTAAAATAAAAATGTGCAAAGACAAATCCTTTATAATAAATATTCCATAAAATCCAACTTTATTTTTCATAGAAACTTTAAATTATGGAATAATTTGATTCTGCAGCGTAGAACAAGTCAGCATTCTATATGGCTCAATTCTCAATTGTTGGCAAGCCAGCCAAAACACCATTTCAGTAAGTCTGAAACATCTGCAACGCAGTAAGTCTCGATGTAAGGCAATGTGTTCAAAAACAGAAATGAATTTCATAACCTGCCACAAAGGGAAAAAAATTGCTGTAAATGTGTTAGAGATATCAAGCCTTTCACTGTAATATTTCCTCACAGTTTATATCATCAGTTGTTCAGTAATACGGCATGCTTCTCCAGGTATACAGACAGCAGCAGTGGATGGAAGATCAGTCCAGGAGTTGAAAGTAGAGAAGAAACTGTCTAGTTGTACTCTTGGCGCTAATGAGACTTTATTGGTCCTACCCAGCCGTGTACCATGTGAGGTAAGACACAACACAAATCATTTTTTTGTTTCTTTTTTTTTTCACCTTCTTTTCGACTGTTCTCTGAAACCTGAAATATCTTCATATACTTAAAGGGATGGTTCACCCAAAAAAGAAAATTTTACTCTCAAGTACTAACCCTCATGTTGTCCATACCCATAATTCTTTCATATATCATCAAAACAGAAATGAAGACATGTATTATGAAACCTGAGATAGTTTATATATCTTAAGCTTCATAAAGTTAAGACATTTGCTGCACATGAAGTCACAAACTTCATAGTAAGTGCTACATTTGGTTTGAAAGTTACTTTGTGACCATTAAAAAAGCATGTTTTATTATGAATGCGTGTAGTATGAATAAATTTCGGACATACTTCATCTGTCATGTTTTCATTGAGATGTGACCTGCTGCGTCACTTGTTTCGCTTCAGCTCCATTCACAAATCCTCTCCCGTGGCCTCATGGGATAGTAATGTGTCCATTGAATGAGCACTCAGAATCTTGCCGCAAGTAATTGGTCATCTGGATACTTTTCTAACACAGTCTCATCCCAAGACGTCATATAACTGACGCTTTTGACCATACGTCAACATTCGCGTTTTTAGGGTACCCTTAAACGTCGGTTAGATGACAATCCTGGGGCGTCATCCAACTGACGCTTTACCTTTAACGTCAGTTAGGTGCCGGGATAGGTTTAGGTCTGGGGTAGGGTTAGGATTCAATAACATCATCTAACCGACGTTTAAGGGTACCCTAAAAAGGCGAATGTTGATGTATGGTCAAAAGCGTCAGTTGTATGACGTCTTGGGATGAGACTGCGCTGACTTTTCACCTACTGTTTTATGAACTCCGGACATACTGCTGTTTTTCACCTACTTTATACTATGGAAGTAAGCATATTTGGACACAGGGATTGTATTTGTTGTGCTCTATGTATTTGTGTTGATGAATATATGTAAATAAAAGGCTATATTAAACACTTTAAAGGGTTAGTTCACCCAAAAATGAAAATTAAGTCATTAATTACTCACCCCCATGCTGTTCCAACCCCGTAAGACCTTCGTTCATCTTCGGAACACAAATAAAGATATTTTTGATTGAATCTGAGAGCTGGATCAGTCCTACATAGACTGCCTAAGGGACTGGCTCTTGACGGCCCATAAAGTCATTAAAGAAAAGCTTTAAATATTCCATGTGCCTACAGCGGCTCAATTATAAGTTTATCAAGCGACGAGACTACTTTTTGTGCGAAAAAAACATAAATAACGACTTTATTCCACTATTCCATTACTTCCTTATGGGCGCATGCGCGAGAACTGAGACGAGGACGTTCTCATTCGTCTACTTCTTGTCACCGGCTGCTCACCGCTTAGGAGTTTTACCGCCCCCTACCGTATAAAATGATGATCCATATATAAGGCGCTCCGGATTATAAGAAACACTGACGTTTTTTGAGAAGATTAAAGGCTTTTAAGTGCACCTTATAGTGCGGAAAATACGCAAATTGAAAAGCGTATGTACAGCACGCTTCTTCCTCTGCTTGTAAACAGAAAGTTTTGCGCTTCCGGCTATATCAGCACATCATCTTATACGGTAGGGGGCGGTAAAACTCCTAAGCGGTGAGCAGCCGGTAACAAGAAGTAGACGAATGAGAACGTCCTCGTCTCAGTTCTCGCGCATGCGCCCATAAGGAAGTAATGGAATAGTTGAATAAAGTCGTTATTTATGTTTTTTTCGCACAAAAAGTAGTCTCGTTGCTTGATAAACTTATAATTGAGCCGCTGTAGGCACATGGAATATTTAAACCTTTTCTTTAATGACTTTATGGGCCGTCAAGAGCCAGTCCCTTAGGCAGTCTATCTCTCAGATCTAGCTCTCAGATTCAATCAAAAATATCTTTATTTGTGTTCCGAAGATGAACGAAGGTCTTACGGGGTTGGTACAGCATGGGGTGAGTAATTAATGACTTAATTTTCATTTTTGGGTGAACTAACCCTTTAATTATACAAAGTGATCGTATCTCTTCAGAAGAAAATTTATTTCTTCACAATGTCCTTATGCATTTTTTGAAGCTTGAAAGTTTGGATGGAATGGACTTTTAATATACAGAAATCTCTCAGGTTTCTTTAAAAAAATATAACTATTTTTGTTTCGAAGATGAAAGTCTTGTGAGTTTGGAATGACATGAGGGTGATTAAATGATGATAGAATTTGAATTTTTGGTTGAAGTATCATTTTAAGCATTTACATTTACCAGGTAACCAATGCTTGGTTGTGATTTTCGAGAAATGTTGCTGTAATGTATCTTGCAAGTCATTCATAGCAATCAGTTTGCGAATGCTTAACACTGGCATCTAACTGAGATAGACCTTTTCAAAAAGTAGGTTAGACTGAACATTGCCATGGTCTGTGTCTTAACAGAATCCAGGAAAGGTATTCATTCTTCTGCAGGAGATCATGGCCTGCAAAGATGCTGAGGTTGAGTTCAGTGGGAACAAGCAGAGAGTGAGAGTGAAGCCTGTGAATTGGAATGAGAGCACACTGAGTGTCACTGCACCTGGTAAAATGGCCTACATCAATGTTTAAGGCGTATTGTAGAAAACGCTATACAAATACATTTGACTTGACTTGCCGTTTTAAAGCAATGGATGACCTGAATGAAACCTGGCAGTATTTACAGACTTGGATGACTTTATTGTTTTCGTACTATTCCGTGCAATTACAGTGAATTGGAAATAAAGCTTTCAAGCTTTGGGGGGAAAAAAAATAGTAGAACTGTCATTTGTCTCACAAGGCACAAATCTAAAGCCAGTTCCTATTCATTATGATTTTACTGAAAAGAATGACCAATATGTTAATGAGATAACAATGTAAATTACTTTTCATGTTTTGATGAATTTTTGATCATTAATGAAACACTATAGTATTCATAATATTATTCGTTGGTGGTAAAATAATCTGTGTTTGCAGATTTTACTGCTGGAGAGGTGATTGTGACACTTTACAGTAAAGGCCAGTTTAAAGGCAATGCCTGCATACAATACTACACTATCATGGGAGACATTGCCCAATTCCTACAGCAGGCTGCAGATCCTGTGAAGTTTATGTGCCAGGTAACCACATGTCTGTTGTGTCTTGGTGTAAATAGGCTTTTGATCTGTAATTCACCTTTGGCTAAGCCACGCCCTAGAATGTAGATTGACCAATCACAGGCCAGCCAAGAACGAGCTCCCACAGAGGTCGGACACTTTTTCACAGCGCTTCATTGACTTTCAACACAGGCATCTCATATTTTTGGTCTCGGCAGGCTATTACCATCAAAGTTTTATCCAAAATATGGTTAAACGTTGTGCCTCTGGCATTTGCAACACAGACACACGTTTCCCAGAGAGGTTGGAGGGGGGTGTCCGTTTTTTCCCTTCCCAAAACCGAAGTAAAATCCTGACACAGTGACAAGTGGATTAAACTGTATGGAAGTCCTCAGTCAGCTAAACCCCGCGAAGATCAACAAGCACATCTTTTTTTTACTTCTAACCTTACTGTGAGTGTGAAGTTATACTAGTTTGACCTTTTTATAATGTTTTAGGTTATGATTTTGTTGATACGCTAGCACACGCTGCTAATAAATACAACGTTATACTCGTGTAGTCCGTTTGCTTTGTAATAGCGATTATAGAAGTGAATAGAGACCTACCCAGCTTTGCATGAACAGTGTTGCTCCCTGATATTGTTAGTCCCAGCCTCCGTCTCGATTAGTAGGAAATGCGGTGGTTAATTTTTTGACTGTGACCGGTAACGTTATGCTTTTGCCTCTATTTTGGATGCCTTGTTGTTTCTTGTGTTTCATCTGTATGTCTTGAATATAGCCTTCGAACGCATATTGCAGCCCCTTTTGCCTACTTCTATCGGACACTTTGTTTGCTGCTTTATAAAAGTTTGATAACATTTTAGCAGGAAGAGCTGTCACAGCAGAAGCCATGCAGAGCGCAGATGAAGTTTAAAAACTGGATGTAGCAACAGTAACTAAGGGGGGCGGGGCTTAGTCAAAGGTGAATTAAGCTTTAACCCACGTGCTTAAGGCCCAGGAATGCTTATTCATTTAATACATTTATACATTATAATGCATTATAATACTGTACATTTTCTGCATTCCACTCCGTCTTGTGCACAGTCATGTCTGCGCAGCTTTAGAAATATACTCAAGTTTATTTTCAATGGCTTCCATTGTAAAAAGCTGTAAAAAAAAACACAAAAAAAGCTCCTAGATCATTTATAATTTTACACGGCAATAGTTTTTTTTTTTTTTTTTTGTCTACTGCAGAACAATCCAAAAACTGTACAACCGACTGACGAGATACATGTCTATTCCTCACAGCCTCGCTTTCATTACTATTAAAAAATAAAAAATGGCGCTGCTGTGAATAAGGTCTATTGCCTGCAAAGTTAAGAACAAGAACCAAAGCAGGCAAGGCACATTTGTCTCTAAAGCACATTTAAAATCAGGCAGTCCTGACCAAAGTGCTGACCAAATAAAACAATAAAATACATAAAACTTTCAACATCAGAAGACGACAGAATGCATGGGCTACTTGCAAATCATTCCACAGGCAGCAACAGAAAAGGCACAATTACCTTTTAACTTCAAACGAGACCTTGCCATGATCAGCATCAACCTATTGAAGACCTTAAGGAAGGTGGAGAAGGAATTCTGTAATATATTGTGGGGCTGAGCTATTTAACCACTTATACATATAATAAAACCTTAAATTTAACATATTCAGCCGGCAACTCGTGTAATGAAGTCAGAACTGGATAAATATGTTTCCTTTCTCTAATTCCAGTAAGAAGCCTAGTAGAAGCATTTTGTATCATTTGAAGGCGAACTGAAGGACTGCCACATTAAAGTACAGTGAGTTACAGGCTGTGAATCAGCCTAGAGAAAACAAAAGCATGATTCACTATCTCCAAATCCATTACTGATAAAAACACTTTAAATTTTGTAATGGATCTGATTGATTTGTTTTTATCAAGTTCTGGACGTTATCAAAAATCACTCCCAAATTTCTAGCATGAGCATGAGAATGGGCTTTATGCCCAGCTGCACTACTTCCTGAACTTCAGCCAGCTCCTTGTTTCCTGTCTGCCATTATTGGCCAAATTGATTAATTCAGGTGTACCTGACCTCAGTAGTCATGGCAACAATAATCAGACACACCTGAATTAATCAATTTGGCCAATAATGGCAGACAGGAAACAAGGAGCTGGCTGAAGTTCAGGAAGTAGTGGAGCTGGGCATAAAGCCCATTGACCTTATGCACAGATGCACTACTTCCTGAACTTAAGCCAGCTCCTTGTTTCCTGTCTGCCATTATTGGCCGAACTTGATTAATTCAGGTGTGTCTGATTATTGTTGCCGTGACTACTGAGGTCAGGCACACCTGGATTAATCAATTTGGCCAATAATGACAGACAAGGAGCTGGCTGAAGTTCAGGAAGTAGTGCATCTGTGCATAAGGTCAATTCATATAATATGCAGGACCCAGATTGTTGATTATCTGTATACTATATGCTGGTGGTCCAAAGACAAAAAAATTCTGTTTTAGATTAATTCAGCGAATAAGAAAATTAGCTGCCAGCTAGCATCTACCCTCTGCAAGACAAAAAAAGTGCATGTCATAATTTTCAAAGGGAGGTAGCTGGGTATCAAACAAAAACTAGGAGAAGGAGAAGGATATGCTGCTGTTTACTGTTCTTGGAACAGCGTATTTGGGCAGGCTTAACGCAGGCATCCGCGGACCCTCCAAATTAAAGAAATGACATAATGTTGGACATTGTGCGGACCGCCGCGGAACACAAACTGGAGAAGTACTTTGGACAGATGTGAATGAATTAGGTATAGCCATAGTTAAAGGGGTCATGAACTGGCTTTTTAAATTTTATTATATTGTTGTCTGAGGTCAACTTATGACGTTCGCTTGGTTTTTGCGTTCAAAAACATTAAAATGAATAAGTAATAGGCTATTTTGTACCCAAGTTTTGAGCCTACCTAAAAAACTCTGTGTTTTTATGGGCGTCTCGCACTGAAGACTTGGAAGTAAACACCCACTGCTTTGAGTGAATAACAGTTTTGCATATTATAATGATTTTCAACTCACCCGTCGTCTATGCACTTGGGGGAAATTGTTTAGAAAATGTCCGATGTTGTAAAATGGCAACCGGAATGATTCGACCCAGATTCTGTGTGTTGAACAATTCCTGTCAGATCCAATATAGACGGCAGAGCACCATTCTTTACTGTTAATCGGTTTGCAAATTCAGTCTTGTTTACAAAACAATCCTCAGTGAAATGAAGCGAACAGACGGACGGACGATGTTTCACCCTCATCAGCTGAAGTGGAACATCGTTAAAAAAAAGTTTATCCATGCAGTCCTATTGGAATCCAGAGGAAGCATATGCAGCGACTGTCTTCTGTCACAACCAGGCACTGCACAATATTCAACACAGTCTCATGAAAGTGCGTATCTATACCACGATTGTCATTTCTCGTGGCATTTATACACCAAAAATGATTTTTGCATGCATATGCTACGCACTGAAACCCCCTGGGTAGGTTTAGGGGGAAGGGGTGGGGAGTTCGTAATTATTATACACCAAAAAGTGCGTATCATATGCACGCGAAAAACACGTGCCATATACACGCAAAAACTAGTTTTGGCGTATAAATGGCACAAGAAATGACATTTGTGCTATAGATACGAACTTTCATGAGATCGGGCTCCAATAGGCTAAGTGCACAAGCGTAGTCACGAACTTCCGCTTTTGTCAGAAGTCGGCATATCAGTTTCCGGTCTACGACTGTCAATCCGCATCCACTAATAAACAAACAAGATGTGTATTATTTATTGATTCCCCTAAAAAGTGGGCATGCGGAGCTATCAAAACTTGTTGTTTGTTTGAGCAGCCAATGTGTCAGCTTTGGTTCAATTACTGGAGTGACTTTGCGAAAGGGCCATCTGTTTATCTGACCAAAGGAAAATGTGATATTGTTTGGGAATTATTAATGCTAGTGTCACATTCTTCGGCTTTCAAGAATTGTAAGGCATTTATAATGTTTCTTATGTTTATATTAAGGCCTTTCAGGTGTCTTCCTTGGAAAAGCTGGATCAAATTCTAGCTTCTTGTCTGGTCAAGAAAATGCCGACAGGAGGTTTCCATGGCCTACAGTGTGATCAGTCTCCTGCTGCGGGTAAGGGCTTCTAAAGTTCTGTTTAGCGCTTTTAACCCATTTTAGGTCTCAGTCTCACCCACTGCTTGCAGAAAGCCATTTTTAGATCAGCACGAAAAGGCTAATGCTACTAGCACTTTATTTTACAGTCTTTTATAGACATGAATAAATTATGAGGGGAAGTGACCTCAGCCCACTGAAGTGCATTACTGTGCACTTGTTTTTTCAAAATGTGCCTCCACATAAATACAGCATGACCCAGATCCACTGCAGTTTAACATGGAGCAATTGGCAGTGTTATTGTGTGTGCACAAAAAAATGTCTGCAAAACAGTGCACAATAAAAGCTGAAAAGTCAATGGGTTGAACTAAGTATAAGAAATCAGAAATAATTAACTTCTTCTGCAACCTTCTTAGGATTTATCACAGTATATTCTCTCATCATTATTAAGGTGCATTCACTTTTAAAGAAGCAAAATTGTGCAGGCAAAGGCATTTCAATAGAAATAAACGCATTTTAATAAAAAGCTGCATGATCCGGCAAACAGAAAGCTGCTTGGTTTCAAAGTGAGTTTTGTGATATTAGTGCTTCTTGCATCACTACACTATTGAGAATTGCCTTTTTTTTGTCTGTCAATTTTTGCCAAAATTTCACTCATGTAATTGCACCTTTACTGATGACACACATTCCTATTGCTTTTTAACTCTTCCCCTCCAACCACCTCTATCCATTTTGGATGTTACACCCTATTTGAATCACTCAGTGAATTCCTGATAGATAAAATCAGGTCCCAACCTACATGTTTTCTAATTGGCCATTTAGATTAGGGAATTAAAATGGGATGTGACCTGCGATACATGTTGACTTTAACATCCTACTCGCATGTTGATGCTATAGTGACGGGGGTCTACTGTTGCTGTAGTGACGAACATTTTTTTGTCTGTTTGCTTCGCTTCATTTATTACATTTAACAGCTGTTAACTGCGCACATATATTTTTGAAACTTAAATGATGTTCTTAATTATTAATTTATGAATTAACGGCCAGAATCAGAATTTAAAATGGACTGAATAAAGCTATTGCTACTGTAATGTATTGTTCATGCGATATGTCTATATCATGCATTACGGTAGTTTCTCAATGTGTGTGGAGAATGGTGGTTAGAGTAGCTTTTCTGTAACAAGAGAGTGAAAGTTGAATCACACAGAAGTAAAGCCTCTGCAGTGAAATGGTTGTCGTTCCTCTTAATAGTAAAGAATAATTGTAATAGCATAATAGCTTAAAGGAGCTAAACGCAAGTCTCTGAGTTTTTGCAGAACTACGCCCCCTCTGGCGACAAGCGAAACTGCAACCAGAGCTGTGCGCGTTCATGGAGGAACACACACACACATACGCACGTTTGCACGAGCTGTTCATAACTAAGGAGCATCAGCCGCACACTGTGCGGCACACATCTTTTGTTACAGTCATAATGAGGTAATACAGTAATAAATCTGCAAGTCATTTAAAATATATGAAAGGAAAGGCATTCGAGTAAATTACACACTTGTGTGAGAGGGGGAAACGGGGGTAGTAGAAAACTTCGGTTTTTGTTTCCATCTATCTCCCTGTGCTTACTGTATCCACTTATGATTGAATTATTATGGAAACACGTTCAGTTATCACTTTGTATAGGCTATGACCCGTTTGAGCCCTAGAGACGACCGGAGATCTCTCCGTTTGTTGAAAGCTTCCCGATGTTGACTCTCGTCTTATTCCGACGCATGGCACTGGACAGACAGAAGTTTTATTTTCTGTCTCACGTGGAGTTTGCGTTGGGGTTTGTAATGAGCTACAAGCCGGTCTCTTTCCGCGCCATATACAGATTTAATGAAGTGCACGTCACCGAAAGCAACAGATATGAGCTGGATTTTATTAATCATCGGCTAATTTCAAAATCAGCAAAGACAGCAATAAGAGAGATCGGCAACAAAACTGGTAAGATCATTTCATTTCTTTACTTTTAATGAAGATGGTAGTGTTAAGCGTCTGCGACTTACTTTCACTAATTCGATTTGCGATAGATTGCGGCGCTTGATGAAGGGGCTCAGCTCAGCTGCTCAGGTGATGCGCGTCGTCATATATGACTAAAATATCATGACATATAGCTTGGTTTCAACAACCAGATGCATTTACACTTGTCCAGTTTCGTCTGGAATACGGCCCAGACCACGTCCTCAAGTGGTTTGAGCGATCGAATTCAAATCCGTCTCGAATGCGTTTCGGAGGGCATTTACACCCTGGTCTTTTCACGATCGAATAGCTATCCGATCACAGAAGACACATGAAGTGACCAGGTGTAAACAGCCCCTTTGAATCCATCGTCTACTTTTGTGGAAAGCTGACTAGAGTTGTGTCGCTCGAGTTGTCTTCTCTGATACGGAGAACGGCGGCGAATAGCTACACGAACCTGCCAGACATAGCCAGGCGAGCGTGAACGCGCATGACGTCACGCCCAGTCTCAGATTCGAGCCCGAATCCCTCTTATATATTTCACTGTACAGGGTTATAGAGGCGATCGCAGTGATCAAAGAAGGGCTCATTCAGCCCATCAGGCGATTGTTTAAGCATGTATGGGTTAGAAAACCGCTATTTTTAACATGAAAAGTTGCGCAATGCACCTTTAATAGTAAAGCATTATATATATATATATATATATATATATATATATATATACGGAGAAAATAAAAGGAAAATGAACATCATAATAATAAACCAAGGAAAATGGCCACAATAGGACGAGTGCCAGATTTTGACAGTACCAAAGAGGATTTTGATACCTATTTGGAGAGATTTGAGCGATGGCTGGCAGCAAATTAAATTGAGAGTGAAAAAACCTGAATGTTTTGGGACCAGTCGAAAATGCCTTTTGAAAAGTTTAGTTGAGCCAGAAAAGTGTTTGAATTATCATACCAGTAAATTTCTCAGACCCTTTCCGATCACAAGCCCAAGCCATTCTGATTGCAGAACGTTTCAGATTTTACACAACCAAAGTCCTGGGGAAAAAGAAATCTGATCACATTCTGGCATTAAAACGTCTGGCAAGTTCATGTGAGTTTGGAACATTTCTGGATGATGCTCTCAGAGACAAATTTGTCTGTGGACTTTCTGAAGAAGTTTATCACAGAAGGTTACTGTCAGAGAAGGACCTGTCTTTCAAGAAAGCCTGTGATGTTGCTCTTGCACTAGCGCAAAAGGACACCAAACAGCTGAGTGCCCAGGTGCATAAGGTGCAAAATGTCGGTGGGGGCAGAGAGAATACAGAGAATGGGGAAATTCTCAGTACAGTTCTTAAAAAGGGCCAGGCAGCAACTTTTTCCCAAGCATAGAAGCATCTTTTACTACTGTGGGAGAGGCAACCACCATCCCACAGAATGTCGCTTGAGAATGAGAAATGCCACAACTGTGGAAAAGTCGGACACTTACTGTGTGTATGTGAGAATCACAAAACACAGCGGCTAGACAATACTCAATATGTGTCAGTGGACATATCCGACAATCAGTGTGCAGTGGATGATGACCTGTTTGAGCTCTGCACTGTCTACTCTGGCAAGGCAGGGCTGATGGCATTTATATTGGTCTTCATCTTAATGGCATATAAGTTATCATGCAACCAGACACATGAGCCTCTTTGTCTTTAATTCCAAAACATATCTATACTGAAAAATGTAACAACTGTTTATTGAGCCCAGCCTCCATTCATCTGGCCTCATATACTGGAGACAAAATCCCTGTGTTAGGTGAGATCAAGGTTCCAGTCACATACAAGGGACAACAGTGTTCACTTCCATGATTGTGGTCAAAGGAGACAAACCACCATTGCTGGGACTTAACTGGCTCCAGAACATTTCCTTAAACTGGAGTGAGACCTTCAGCATGAGCCGTGACACCTGTGAGTGTTCCTTCCCTCTCTGATGTACATGAAAAACACAAACAGCTTTTCAAGATGGCTACGGAAAACTTGACTTTAAAGCAAAGGTGACAGTGGAAGAAGGATCTCAACCTATCTTTCATAAGCCAACACATGTTCTGTATGCTCTTAAGAAGCAGTGGAAAGGGAACTTGATCGCCTGGAGAGGAACGGAATTATCTCTCGGGTTGGAAGGAGCAATTGGGCAGCACCCGTTGTGGTTGTCCCGAAGACAAGTTAGTTTGGCTGTGTGGCGAGTATAAAGTCACAGTGAACAAATGTATTCTTGCAGAGGAATATCCATTACCTAACGTGGAGGAACTTTTTACCACATTGGCTGGGGGAAAAGATTTCAGTAAGATTGATCTGTCTTTTGAATTTTAGCAGCTGGAGGTGGATGCTGAGTCTGAGCAGTACCTTACCATAAACACGCTCAAGGGTCTGTTTAAGTACAATCATTTGGCCTATGGAATTTCCACGGCACCTGCAATTTTCCAACACACAATGGACCAAATCCTACAGGGACTTCAAAATGTAGTGTGTTTCATGGATGATATTCTGGTCTCTGTGCCATCTGGATGTACTGGACAAAGTGCTCTTTTGACTACAGCAGCATGGAATATGAGTGAAGAAATCAAAATGTGAATTCCTCTGTAAGTCTGTGGAATACTTGGGATTCAAGATTGATGAAAAATGTGTTCATCCAAACAGAGAGCAAGGTGGAAGCGATCATGAAGAACCCTGCTCCAACTAATGTCTCAGAATTACATTCCTTTCAGGGACTTCTGAACTTCTATGGGAAGTTTGCAGCAAATCTTTCCACGCTGTTACACCCACTCCACCGATTGTTGCAGACCAATGTAAATTGGCAATGGTCTTTGCAGTGTGCTCAAGTTTTCAATGCCTGTAAACAGCACCTATTGTCAAGAAGCAAATGCTTAGATCACTATGAACCCAAAAAGCCATTAAGACTCACCTGTGATGCCTCACCCAATGGCATCAGTGCAGTTATCTCACATGTGCTACCTTCAGGGGAAGAACACCCATTTGCATCAAGGACTCTGACAACAAGTGAAAAAAAAACTATGTGCAGATTGAGAAAGAGGCTCTGAGCATAGTCTTTGGTGTGAAAAAGTTTCCCAAATATCTATATTGCCGTAAGTTCTGCTAACTGATCATAAACCCCTCTTTGCAATCCTAGGCACCAAGTCTGCCATTCCAACATTTGCTGCCCTCCGTATGCAACGGTGGGCTTGTTGGTCTATGGATATGAAATCGAGTACAGATGCTCTTCTGATCATGCGAAGATGTGTTGTCCAGATTACCGTCCGAGACTCTATGGGGGGAGAGGGAATGGTGTTTCAAGTCTCATACCTAGATGAATTGCCCATCTGTGCAAGAGATATTTCCACTGAAACTAGGAGAAATCCTTTGCTATCAAAAGTGTTGGGCCTAACTTTGTCTGGATGGCCCAATCATTTCACAGTTGAACACTTGAAACCGTTATTTGTCTCTCAACAGACCAGGGCTGTATCCTGTGGGGCTCAAGAGTAATCATTCCTCCAAATTATAGGGAAAGACTGTTGTCTGAGTTGAATGAAGGTCACCCAGGCATAATAAGAATGAAAGCATTGGCAAGAGGATACCTCTGGTGGCTGGAACTCGGCCAAACAGACAAGCAACACTTCTTAGTGGTTGTGGGTGTTCATTCAAAATGGGTGGAAATCTTTCCTACTCAGCTGATCAATGCAGAGAAGACTATTAACCTCTTGCGTCATCTCTGGGCTACCTATGGATTCCCAAAGGAGCTGGTATCGGAAAATGGCCCACCATTCACCTCTAGGGAGTTCAAAGAGTTCCTAAGGAATAATGGTGTGCGTCACATTCTGTCTCCTCCATATCATCCAGCCGCAAACGGTCAAGCCGAGCGAGAGGAACAAACCTTCAAAAAAGGTGAAATGGGAAAGGTTACGAACAAAATCTGTAGCACCTTTGCCTGGTTCGTTTTCTGTTGACCTACCGCAACACTCCCCATACAGTAACAGAGCGATGAATTTGCTGATGTAAGTGACAAGAGCAATTCCAGTGTTATCCAGCCCCGATTTGGAAGATATCCACTCCGACAGAGAAAAGCACCTAACAGATTAGATATGTAGTTATGGACTGATTAGTGGTTCCTATTAATAAGGAGTTCTAACCATGTGTATACCCAGAATGTATTGTTAAAAAAGGAAAAAATATATATATATATATAGTTACATGGTTGCAAATTGTTTACCATGTTAAGGAGTTCAAATCTATGGGGGAGAAAATGTAATTGTGATGAAGATGATGATGGTTCAGTGCGGGTGATGGAAGAATACAAGGGGTCGGCAAATACTGGGACTTGTTCACGTTTATTTGGTCTCAAAATACACAGTGTCGCGCTGGGCGCTCTCACTCTCAATTACTCAGTTCACGTTCAAAGAACACTCCTTCCAGAATAAACATAACACTCGCTGTAACAGCTTCGCGTTCCACTTTAAAGGTCCTCTCTCTTAGCAGGGCGTTGTACATGAGTTCCCCAGGCTCTCTCTCTCAGCGGCCAGCTTTTATGCGGTCTCCCCACGCCAATTACTGCAATCACAGACAGGTGTTTGTCATTTGCACTTGTCCCACTTTCTCACCAATCGGCTCCGTCCCTGCTCTCCCGCGACAGACTTTGCTGAACCACGCCCCCCTTACCACAGTAATGTAATCTATTGTTCATGCGAATCTATGTCATGCATTACGGTAGTTTCTCCGTGTGTGTGGAGAACGTTGGTTGGTGCAGCTTGTGTGTAACAAGAGAGCGAAAGTTAAAGCACACAGCAGTAAAGCCTCTGCAGTGGAATGGTTGTCCGTGTTGTTCCTCTTAATAGTAAAACATAATATCTGTGACCTTGATGTGCGATGTCATGCTGACTGACATATGCACATTAATCACTTTCAAACGCCCGGAGGATTCACCATGATGCTGATGGAATTGGTCGATGAGAGTGCAATCAAGAATTGCACGAGCTGGAACCCAGCATCTTTCATCCGGATCGTAGCCCTCCCAGTCTACCAGGTATTTATGACCTCTACCCATTCATCTGACATCAGAGAGCCACGATCCCATATAAGCTGGTGACCTCTCGATGAGTCAGGGACAGAGGTCTGGGGCTAAAGGGGGAAACAAATGATGGGCTTGATCTGAGAGATATTCTTCATCTATATTTAAACAGGGATCAATTTGAGTTGAACCAACATTGGTCTGAGCACCTTAGTGATAAAAAATGATCTTATAAATTTGGGCTCCAGTTTACATGGGGGGAAGCGTAAGAGGAATGTCCTGGGTAGATAACCAGACCTTATGACCACACATGTGGGGCTACCGTGATGTACCTTGATGGTCCGCCGATGCCTTGATCCTGTTGCCTGTCCGAATAACTGCTTCTATGGCGATCCTCCATGTACGGAAGCATGTCTGAATAAAAGCATCCACGGACAGAACAATGGCGTCAGATTTTTGTGAGGGGAATAATGGTGGCAGGTAGCCTAAACAGCACTGGAAGGGAGACAAACCCACAGATAAACCCAGGAGGGATATTATGTGCATACTCGACCATGGTTAATCTGGATCTCCAAGATGCTCCAGCGCAAGACCCTCTCCAGATCCTGGTTAGCACAATGGGCCTGTACGTTAATCTGTGGGTGATACCTGGAGGATAAGACTAGCAGTTGTTATAACCTAAAATAATAGTTTAGACTAAATAAAAAAATAAAGTATTTTTTAAAATAAAACCAGTAAAATAAAATGTTACAGCATGAAGCACATTTCTTATGTTGCCTGACAAAACGGGATTGATTTTCTTTACTAGAGTGTAGCTCAGAGGACATTCCTACTCTCCTGCATTTTGCTGCCCAGCATGGATTACGAGATCTGGCCTGTGCTCTACTGCAGTGTCCGGGATCCCGGCAAGCCCTAAAGATCTCCAACAGTCATGGAAATACACCGTTGAATCTTGCACATGCACATGGGCATGACCTCTACATCCTCCTACGGGAGTCATTGGTGAGTGAAACTTCTGAAACTAGTAATTATTATTATTATTTTTTATCAAAACAAAATATTGTCTGAAGACAATAGCATAATTTTTCAGTGCAGTTCAAGTTTTTTTTCTCATCCGATAGTGTCAGTATAATCATATCAATAATATTATTAAGTGTCCCCCATAAAGCAAGCCAAAGGTGACAGTGGCATGGAACCCAAACTCTATCAGGTGATAGAAATGGAGAAAAAGCTATGGAAACCAGGCTCAGCCAGGGGACCAGTTTTCTTGCCTAGAGTAGATAAATGGACATGTCCTTCTTGTTAAAACTCCATTTAGGTCCCAGCTGGTCCTGGCATGATGCGTTCATAGCTGGGGATCAGTGCCAAGGGATCTAAGTGTGCTATTTGAAAGCAAACTTTTATTTGAAAGCCACATTTCTAGCATTTGTAAACAAGACAAGTCCTCGGAACAGATCTTCAGCAAAGACCTCTGCGAGGTCTCTCTCGAGGCTGGCCTCTGGTGTACTTAATCATCTGGGGTCGGCTATCGCGCCGGTGCAATGGGCTCATTTTTTTTCTTATAAGTGCAAACTCTGCTGATTTTTATATTACAGATAAGTGTTATACATCATTCGATCCTGTTAAGTGTCTATTTTTTGTGTATACTCACAATAAAAAAAAGTGTTGTGCTTGCGCGTTTTGCCTTCTATCTGTCAGTGAAGTTCATTCTGAAACACGTCTGAAAATGAACTGTAACTCAGCAAATACTTGTCAGAGACACAAAATATTTCTCTTTACGAAGCTGAAATTCTATATATAAATATGTATTTTTTAAAAAAAATTCTCAGTTGATGTAATATGTATGAAAAGAGAGAGATGTCAGTCTTTTCCTTTCACCTAATTATAGCATATGACATGCTAATGACGTGCCATGCCCACTGAGAGCGTGCGCTATTCAAACGCTAATGTTGAGGCAAGCCATGAACACGCCCACATCAGCTGGATAAAACATCCAGTAAAAATCTTACCTCGTCCTTACCTTTACCCTTGTCTTGCTGTGCAGTGAGGAATAATGCTATCTAATAATCCTGGAAAAGTTACCTTGGAAAGCCTGGTACTAGTTTCATTTCGAGGAGCGTGGATTCAGCTGATGTAGCAAGTCATTTATTCTTAAGTGCTTTGTTCAAATCGTATTATTGAATAGTGTCTGTTAACTGTAGTGCTGTAGCGGCGCGTCGATGACGTCGAAAATTGCGTCGACGTCATATTTTTGCGTCGCCGCTTCTTTATTTATTTATTTTTTGCATGTTCCCGGCGGTACAGCTTGCCACACACACGTGGGAGACCGAAACATTGCAGAATAGAGGATGAAGACAACTAGAAGTGAATATGCTATCCATTAAATGAATCACACACAGTAAACAAACCCTTAAGAAAAAAAAATTGCAATTTAGACGCGCAAACTGGGTGCCGGTGTGGTGAGACGTACAAGCTCGGGCAGATTCGGCTTGAAGTTGTTCCCGGACGCGGCGCCGGGCGCGTTGTTACAAAAAAAGGCATACACACAGCCAGCCACAGTCTTCCTGGTCTTGCGCACCCAACGCGTCATTTTTGGCGTGCGCACATTCGTGCTTGTGCGGACGTGTCGAGTATAAACCAGGCTTTACTCCGTGTCAGCACGCGCTCTGATCAGTAGGTGAACTCCGCCTCCGACTCCGTTTCCCTCCTCAGCTGATATTAATATTTAAACATTCTCTATGATAAAAAATGTTTGTAAAAAATATTTTAATAACACGGTTTTGGCGGTTGTAGAATTATGATGGTGTTCAAATACATAATATTAGACTAACGTTAGCCAGCTTATAGTATCTTGATTCAGTATGCTAGTATTTATTTGAGATATTGTTTTTTTATTAATTGAGCAGCAGAAAAAATATTCTTTATATTAGTCGTCCAATTAGTCATTAGATTAGTCGACTAATCGATGAAATAATCGCCCAACTAATCGTTTAGTTAATAATCGTTTACCCCAGCCCTAGTTAACTGCACAAAGACTGTTTAAATATGAATTGCGTGTCTGTGTGTGAATGAATGAATGGCACAGACATGCACGCTGTGCCGTTCATTTACTCTCGCTCCTACATTATTTTTCATGAACACATCCAAACTATGTTGCGATAGCCTACTGACATTTGTTCTAAACGCGATATAGACAAGTATCTGTAAAAGCAACGTTACGTCAGAAGTGACGGAGATTGGGGGTTTCGCATAGAAAGCCAATCCTCTTCGAGTATTTAAAAAACGAGCCAATGGCATGCAATGCCTTGGGGCTGCGAAAATTTGCATAGCGTACTCCGCCCTACTCCGTGAGTATAAAAGGAGGAAGTGAACGCAACCGCAGTATGTCTTCGCTGAGGAGCCAAGACTGAACTCAGCGTCTACCCAGCGATACAGCAGAAGTGGCAGGGAGACGTAACGTCTCCGTTCCCTACTCAGGGAACGAGGGTTACATCCGTAACCGAGACGTTCCCTTTCGTAGTCACTTTGAGTTACGTCAGAAGTGACGGAGATTGGGGGTCTATGCCATCACGCCATCTTCAAGCTGTCTTCCAGTGCCCTGCGAAAGTCTGGACCCCTGAAAACCTTCCTTAGGGGATCCCGCTTTAACACATGAATACCAAGGTACACTGGGAAACATATCCCGGGAGGGACATGCAACCAGATGCCTACCAAAGGGAGGACTTACAAATACGCATATGGCCGCAAGGAACACATATGGAATCGCTGGAGCACCAACCGCAGGTGGCTACTGGAATTTAACTCCAGGGGTGGCAGATGGCTTGCCAAGGGAAGACACATGCTCAGAGAGGCTTACAGTGGAAATACACATGAGACAGTTACTATGGGGAACCGTGCACATGGAGGCACCTAGCCAGCGTCCAGAGCAACAGCAGTGGTGCCCGCATCGTAGGTGCTGGAGGACTCAAGGCTTCAAAGGAAGAACTGAGGAGATATCGCACTTATCCAGTCCGTGGAGTGGAATGGCGAGCAAGCGAAGACACCTAAGCGGGTCCAGTACCGGCGGAAGCGAGTACGTGAGAGGACACCGGCTCAATTCGCAGATTATAGAATCTGGCGAAGATGTTGGGTGTCGCCCAGCCTGCAGCTCTGCAAATGTCTGTTAGCGAGGCGCCGTGCGCTAGAGCCCAAGAGGAGGCCACACTCCGAGTGGAATGGGCCGTCACACCAAGGGGGCACGGACGGCCTTGCTGCTGGTAAGACAAAGCAATGGCGTCCACTATCCAGTGGGACAGCCGTTGCTTTGAGAGAGCCCTTCCCTTCTGGCTCCCCCCATGACAGACAAGAGCTGGACTGAGGTCCTGAAACACCGCGTTCTGTCGACATAGGTGCGGAGAGCACGTACAGGACAGAGCAGTGCCAAGGCTGGGTCTGCCTCCTCCAGGGGCAGCGCTTGCAGGTTCACCACCAGGTCCCGGAGGGGAGTGGTAGGAACCTTGGGCATATATCCAGGCCGGGGTCTCAGGAATACGTGAGAGTAAGCCGGCCAGAACTCCAGGCACACTTCGTCAACAGAGAGTGCGTGCAGGTCCCTTACTCTCCTGATGGAGACCAATGCAATCAGGAGTGCTGTCTACATAGGACAGGGCAAAAACTCTACCGACTGCAAAGGCTCCAGGGGAGGCCTCTGCAGAGCACTTAGATCTACTGAGAGGTCCCCAGAGGGCAGGAGGGGAGGGAGGCGGATTTAGCCCCCTCGCTCCCCTCAGGAACCTGATGACCAGGTCATGCTTCCCATAGACTTAACTTTCACTGCATCATGAGACGCGCCAATGGCCGCGACATAAACCCAAAGGGTGGAGGGCGACAGCCTACGCTCCAACCTTTCTTGCAGGAAGGAAAGCACGACTCCGATCAAACATCTCCGGGGGTCTTCTCAGCGAGAAGAGCACCAGCTGACGAAGAGGTTCCACTTCAACGCGTACAGGTGTCTCGTGGACGACGCTCTAGCGGAAGTGATGGTTGCCGCCACCGCAGGTGGCAACGAACTCAAACCTGCCCCGTCCCGTCCCGGAGCCACATGTGTAGTCTCCAGGATCAGGACGAGGGTGCCACGGAGTGCCCCGTCTCTGAGTGAGTAGATCTTGTCTCAGAGGAATAGGCCAAGGAGGTGCTGTCGCGAGGAGCAAGAGTTCGGAGAACCACGTCTTGGTGGGTCAATAGGGGGCTACCAGCAAGACCTGCTCCTCGTCCTCCTTGATCTTGCACAACACCCGTGCAAGGAGGCTCACTGGGGGAAACGCATACTTGCGTGGGCCCCGCGGCCAGCTGTGCGCCAGCGCATCTGAGCCGAGCGTACTGTCGGTCAGGGAATAAAACTGGGCGCAGTGGGATGAGTCCCGGGAGGCGAACAGATCTATCTGTGCCTCCCCGAACTGGTCCCAAATCAGCTGGACCGACTGGGGATAGAGTCGCCATTCGCCGGAGATAGGACGGACCCGTGACAGATCGTCGGCTGCCAGGTTCCGGTCTCCTGGAATGTATACTGCACGAAGGGACCTCAGGTGCTTCTGACTCCATAACAAGAGGTGGCGGGCGAGCTGCGACAACCGGCGTGAGCGTAGACCCCCCTGGTGGTTGATGTACGCTACTGACGTGGTGTTGTCTGAACGGACAAGCACATGCTGGCCCCTGAGCAACGCTCGGAAGCGGTGCAGGGCGAGACGTACTGCCAGCAGCTCGAGGCAATTGATGTGCATGAGGCGCTGGGGTCCTGTCCAGGAACCCGCGGCTGCATGCCCATTGCACATGGCACCCCAACCCGTGGTAGACGCATCCGAGGAGACAACGAGATGCCTGGAAACTTGCTGAATAGGGACGCCGGTCCATAAAAAGCTGAGGTTCGACCACGGGAAGAGGGTTCGGCGGCATGCTGGAGTCACTGGAACTCGGAGCGAGCCGCGATGGCATGCCCACCTCGGGACTCGATCGCGAAGCCACAGCTGAAGCCGTCTCATATGAAGCAAACCGAGCGGCGTAGCCGCGGCCACGGATGCCATATGCCCCAGGAGCCTCTGAAATAGTTCAGTGGAACCGCACTTTTGCCCTCGAACTGTCGAAGACAAGTCAGCAGTGAGTGCGCGCGCTCGCTCGTGCGCTGCGCGGACATGGCAACCGAGTCTATCTCCATGCCGAGAAAAGAGATCCTCTGCACGGGGCAAAGTTTGCTCTTTCCCCGGTTGACCCGAAGGCCCAGACGGGCTAGGTGCCGGAGCACCAGGTCTCTGTGTTCGCAAACCTGTTCTCGAGAGTGTGCCAGTATCAGCCAGTCGTCGAGATAAATCAGGGTGCGAACCCCGTGTTCGTGAAGGGGAACAAGGGCTGCCTCGACGATCTTCGTGAAGACGCGAGGTGACAGAGCTAACCCGAAAGGGAGAACCGTGTACTGATGCCTGGCCTCGAGGCAAACCAAGAGCGGTCTGTGTCGAGGCAATATGGAGACATGAAAGTACGCGTCCTTCAGGTCGATTGCTGCAAACCAATCCTGAGGCCAAACGCATTCGAAAATGCGTTTGGCTGTGAGCATTTTGAACGGTAGTCGAAGGAGAGTACGGCTCAAAATGCGCAGATCCAGGATTGGCCGTAACCCACCGGTCTTCTGGGGACAGTGAAGTATGGGCTGTAGAACCGGACCTCACCTCGGCTGGAGGGACCGTCTCGATTGCACCCTTCGCCAGCAGGGTGCAATCTCCGCTCTCGTGACCGGGGCATAGCCACCGACCACCGTGGAGCGAACTCCCCTAGAGCGGGGAGGAGACCTCGCGAACTGAGTCGCGTAGCCGAATCTGATCGTTCTGATGACGCAGCGGGACAGGTCGGGGAGCTCTAGCCGGGCTCCCAGGAACTGAACCAGCGGCGTCATGCGAACCACAGACGTCCCCCCGGAGGGGCAGCGGTACAGGGAGACCGGCATGCGCACAGGAGTTACCCTGTGACATTGACATCAGACATTGACCGACAAACACAGACTGAAACAGAGGAAACTAAATACACTGAGGAATCAGGGTTAATGAGGTGAAGACAGGTGATACAGATGAACAGGACGCTGAACGGGAGGCTGATGAGGGAGTGAGTTCAGGTGTGCAGACGAGAGGATTCTGGGAAGTGTAGTGCTGATGACGCAGACAGGATGGTGCAGACGAAGACTGTGACAGAATGTCATTTCTCGTGGCATTTATACACCAAAAACAGTTTGGTATGGTACGCATTTTTCGTGTGCATATGATACACACTTATTGGCGTATAATATACACGAACCCCCCACCCCCCTCCCTCCTAAACCTACCCCAGGGTTTTTTAGTGTGTAGCATATGACTGAGTGAACAAATCCTTAAAAAGATCAAGAAGAGGAGGCAGGTATTAAAGAAGAGAAAAAAAGATCCCTGCTTCTTTCTCTGAGAGAGAACAGTCTCCATTTACATTTGAACATCTACGGTTTGTTGCATCTTTACTAATGATCCTTCATCAAACAGCCATTAAATTGTATTGTGATTTTAGTCCAACTGGAGCACAGTCATTGAATGAATGCATTATTTCCAGCAGGATACTGGCATGGCACTGAGATTTGTTTGATATTTGAATAACAGCCTCGCAGCATCTTTCTCTGTAATGTTTAACAGTGGGGGCTTTCAGTTAGTGTATAATAGTCAAATAAACTTTACACATTTCCTCTATAAGACATTTAGCTTGCTTTAAAGTATATCATTGTTGTCGCTTTCTGACTCAAATTACATATTCACAAAATAAATGATTAACATGGACTTATCACAATTCAGCTGTGGGCTTTTTGATGCATTTGTATCTCAATGTGACAATTTTTGCATGCTAATAATATTAGTATATTAGTGGGAATAATAATATTACTGTGATTTTATTGAGGTACATTCATTCTCAGTCACTCAAACTGCAATCACAGTGTCACAGTCCTCCGTCTGCACCAGTCTGTCTTGTCTACAGCACTACACTTCCCATGATCCTCTCGTCTGCACACCTGAACTCACTCCCTCATCAGCCTCCCGTTCAGCGTCCTGTTTCATCTGTTTCACCTGTTTGCACCTCGTTATGTTTGATTCTTCCATGTATTTAGTTCCCTCTGTCCCATTCAGTCTTTGTCGGTCGATGTCAATTGATGTTTGTTGTAAGCCCGTGTGGCGCCCATGTTCCTGTCTGTCTGCCTGCCTGTTTATATTTATTAAAAACCTGTTCTCTACCGATACTCCGGTCTCCTCGTCCTTCAGCCAGAGCCACACCGTGACACACAGAAAATATTTGTGTCATGTGGTGTGATGTGATGCCAATGAGGTCTTTAAATATAAGTTTCTATATGGCAGAATCCATATTATTGTAAATTAATTTTATTTTCATTGGTTATTAATGACAGTAAATAAATAAATTGTTTTGATTTAAAAATCACAAATTACCCACTCTGGTAAAATAAGTCCTAGCCTGAAGGATGAGTTAGGTATGGTAAAAGTTTTGACGTTTTGGCAATGCCAACTTAATTGCGACTTGACTGAAGAGAAATTAAGCTTAAACAACATTTGTTTTCTAAGTAGAATCACACACACTCCAAATATATATATATATATATATATATATATATATATATATACCCACAGCTTGGTCTTTTTTAATGCCTGTCTTTCAATCAGTTTGATGACATGTCAGATTATTTCAGATTATCTGACAACAGAAAACATATTTAAATTATTCATCACAACAAGAGAGCACTTGTGGATAAATGATAATGTAACACTCTTGTCCAACATCAAAGCAGCTGTCTTTCACAACCCCTCAACTTGTGATGTGTAATTAGCTTGTCTTGTTTATCTGTTAATTCTCCCTTTCTACTCTAATGAATATATTCATAACACTGAATGCATAATGTGCATAATCAATATTGAAGGGAAAGAAGTGGAGGCTATTATCACAAGTGAATAGTAGCAGGTTGCTAAGGAACAGTAGACAGAGAGCGACAGTAAGAAAGAAGTGTGCATTACACTGAAGTGAACTTTGCTACTATCATCATTTAGTATTTATTGTCTGAACTGTTTAAATTAGTTTGAACTGACTAACTTTTACACTCTGTCAGTAAATGACAAATTTTCTTGTCTTTTCTAATACTATAATATTCAAGCTATTTTCAATTCATATCTGTAGAAGACCTGATGTACATCAACAGTTTAACCAAAGATTTTCCTCTTTTCTAAAGCACTTGCAAAAATGCACATTACTTTGATGTGTAAATATTTAATAAGTATTGTGTTGATCTTTTTTGTCACATATGCTATTTTAAAATGTTGTCATTTGTCATTCATGTGTCATTAACAATGTTCTCATAGGTTTTTGATGACAATGATGGCAACACTGACACCAGTGTATATGAGTTGATGGGCAGAGCAGGTATGTTAGTCTAAATATGATGAATATTTTGTATATTTAAGCAATATCATGAGCAAGAGCGCGATTCTTTCGAATTTCAGCTGATACTCAGACCAGTAGCGAGTGTAACATTACTTATACAATTCCATAAATACAAAAAGGTACAGTTTTTTTTTAATTGCTTTGGCTCATTTTCTAAACAGTCTTAACATTCTCAATGGAAGTAAAATAATGTATTTAAAAAAAAAAAAAATTCCAAAAATTCCCCAACAACTCTAAGGGCTCTATCTTGCACTCAGTGCAATGGGCTATATGCACGCATAAGTTCCGCATTTGACGCAAGGATGCTCGTCCATTTCCGGTTGTGGAGACTAAAGCGGAGGAAAACCGAGGAAAACGGGAGTCTTCAAAAGTTACTGTCCTCCCGTCTTTGTAACGAAACGTACATACGTTTAGACGTAATTTTAATATGTTTATTTAATATAATTTTAAAAAGAAGCATAAACACAACGAGGGGTGTCTATTTTATCTGTTTTTGTGACTAACGTTTCTTTAGTATATCCATGGAGTATAAAATTGAATATAAATTCTCAGTTTTGCATTGGACTCTACGATCGGCGGAAGTCATTGAGAATCCTTACACCTTCACCGGAAATACTGCCGTGCATAGAGCCCATTGACTTTGTACACTGACGCATGTATCATCCCTATTCTGCACCCGATGCACAGCGGACTTTTCCCTACACAGAGGCATGTTGGTAAATTAGGGAATGAACAGACGCGAAAGGATGAGAATGCGTTGGAATGAACTTGCGCTCCGGGGGCGGTTTGGCGTAAAGAGGAGGCATGTTCCGGCGCAAACGTTCCCTGGTGCTATTTTGCAGTTTCAGAAACCAATTCCGCCACAGACCAGGAAAAACCTAGTTATTTTAAGGGTGCATGCTTGGCCATAATGTAGTTTGTGCACAATGCATACTCTACTTATCTCATTAACAGACGCACCAGTTCCCATTTTTGCAAACCATACATATTTACAAGGAAAAATATTACCACACGAGGTAAATCATAGTGGTGTCCATGAAGATGTGAACAAAATAGCCTAAATCTAGCTTACACATTTACCCAAATTATTATACGCCTGTATAGTATGTCTCCCAACAAAGTTATTTGTGAATAACTTTCCCTAAACATTTAATTTCATGTTCATTGATATTTTGTATCACAACAGTAAGTAATAGTTATATATTATATATTATATAGTTATATTTATTTATATTTATATAGTTATATTTATAACTATCATTTAGTTATCTATTTTATACCAAAACACATGCAACACACAAGAAACGAATTGTTAAAAACAAGAAATGTATTGTTTTGATAAAATTTCATTTGAGAATTGAGTCAAAGCAATTGTGAAACACAGTATTTTTAAATTAAACTTCTTAGACACAATATTGCCAGTTACTTAATAATTACTTATTATTATGTTTTTTTTCTTATATTGACAAAACAAGCCACAGCAAAATGAACTGCTGTTCTTCTGAGCAATACACAGTATGTGTTTCATCATGAATGAGTGTTTTTTTGTTGTTTTTTTCACAAATCGAATAATTCAGTGGCTCACTTATTAAGACGGCATATCTCAGTTCCAACATCATCAAGCATCTTAGAAGGCCTTCTCAATTTGTAGTATCCTTGAAAGAAAGCCTTCATTTCACTTCCTTCATTCAGCATATTTTGAAGTATATCCTTCACATTCTCATATAAATCCGTTACCACATTTCAGTCACGTAAAATATTTTGCGAAGTCAGCACAGAGCTTGCCCAAGTTCATCATGCAATTCAAAACATTTTTATTTTGCTGTGCTGTAAATGAATCATAATGCAAAGCTGCCCACGTTGTAAATGTCTGTAAGACAACAAAGGATTGTCATTGACTGTATCGTGTTAATAAAAGTAAGATCATATGAAGAGTTCAGATGTAAAAGCCTCTAAATGCCATTTGAAATTTTCTTCTAAAATGACCATTTTTATCAAGCTTGTATATTTAAGTTCAGTAATTTCACTTACATTACAATCTTCATTGCCATTTAAGTGAAATTACTGAACTTAAATATGCAAGCTTGATAAAAATGATCATTTTAGAAGAGAATTTCAAATGGCACTTAGAGGCTTTTGCATCTGAACTCTTCATATACAGATTTTTTTATATATATAATGTATTTTTCTAAATGCATTTTTAATAGTATTTTTAATATATTGAGACAAGAAATTTTAAGACAAGAAATTTCCCCCTGCTGTTCTTTACACAGATAATCTTCGGGTGGGTGATCATAATGAGGAACATCAAGACAATTACGATGAGAATCTCTATACTCCTCTGGGTAGAAATGAGGAAGAGTATGACACCATCCTTAGACCCAGCAGCCCTGTGGTAATAGTGAACCGCCCCCCTGCACCGACCCCACGGCCTGATTCACTTCCCACCCCGGAGAACAAGACTCCGTTCATAGCACAAGGTTTGAATTTTCTATTAAGATTAAGAAATAATAATGAATATTTTTGCAGTGTTTTTTTCTGTCTTTGGCCAATTGAGGACCTTTAATGAATTGGTGACACTGACAGCAAATTCACTTATTCAATACCTGTTGTGACATTAAAACATATATATATATATATATATATATAAAATAAAATAAATAAAACAAACTCCTGATGCTTGTAAAAAAAAATAACTCCTGATACCAGAGCTGATGCTTGTCTAAATGATTCCTTCAATTTTGCCAATGGATGGTGCCGCTGTGCTGGCCCAGTTCAGTCAGTTAGTTCTCAGTGTTTATAAATACTTAATAATATTTCAGACTGTTATTTCTCCTATAATCCTTTAATAGACTGGGAGAAAAGAGACCTTAATATGGGCCGTTCATCACAGGCAGCATTCTTAAATGTTCAATTTCAGTTTCATTAATAATTCATTTAGATGAAGGTGCCAAGTGACTTGTATTGTTAGAGCTTTATAAATAATTTACACAGTTCTTGAGCTGTATTCATAAAGCATAAAAGAAGCACACTCTTCCTTATGTAGATCACAATCATTTTAGCTTCTGATGACTGAAAGATCTTGTGAACAACAGTATTCAACCCTTGTTAGACATTCCTTGCAAATTCAGAGTATGATTCCAGATAGAACTTACAGTATGTCTTATTTTCGTGAAACAATAAGACGCGCAATTCCTGCATCACCCTTGACCAGCACTCACAGAGGAACAATTGCTTAGCAACTAAAAGTTACAACACATCAAACTTCTAACAAGTGTCCACAGCCATGTCTCTAGCTAATTGCCACTGTTTCTTTGGAGGCGCACAGCATTTAATAGCCTTATATTTGTCACTATTCTCATATATAACACTAGAGTCTGAGCAGGAAAGCCTAGTGTTTGTGAGTATGAGCCAGTTTCTGTCAGGACCACTATCATGCGATTGATAATTAGCATACCATTTGGATTGGCGATATGGTTCTGTTCTGGGCAAGAACTCCCTGCGCATCCACGCAGCCTATAGCATGGATAAGAGCAGGGAGAGCAGCAATAACCTCCCTTAGGGTGAACGGAACAGAACCAACATGGATGTGTTGCAGATATCATTAATTAATTGTATTGTACAACATTATTAGAGAATTCTGATTCACGAAGAATCAAAATGCCAAATGGGTGGGATGGAGGGGGTAATTAGAGAAATGCGACAGCTGCTGATAATACTGAAGGAGCTTACATGTATAGAGTGATATGCCTCGTATTGCTAGATATGGATCAGCTGATGCGAGCTTGACTAACGTGACAAGCCAGAACTGATGCTACGCTTGATAGATACTTTGCATGACACTGTAAGGCAAAGCAACAAGATATATTTACAACACTATCCGAAGCTATTTTGCATTAACAGGTGGTAACTAGCTAGTGTTGCTATGGTCACCTTGTAATAGCCTCATTTCTTAATGCAGAGTAGATGAAAACATATGCACTGCAATGACTCACATTCAGAAATCTCTCTCTCTCTCGTGTGTGTGTGTGTGTGTGTCTATCTGTCTGTCTGTTTATCTATCTATAGGTCTATATTTCTGTCTGCCTGTAGTAGTGTCACTATCTGCTTGTCTGTTGACAGTTATCTTGCTTATCTATCTGTATTTTTTTTTTCAGATTTTAAATTTCGGTTGTACAATTTCAGTATTGAAGACTGTTTTTTTTTTTGATTGACAATCAAAATCTTGGCTAAGGTTTCTTATTGGACTGAAATATGAGGAGAAGAAAAACGATGAACGATTATGAATGATGGACAAAAAGAAGGCCAAAGATATGTGCTATTTTTTTTTTCAGATTAGTTATTGTCAGCTTCTCTCTGAAATCCCCTCCTCCTGATACACAAACTCCTTTTTTGTATATATTTTTGCAGACATCACAACAGGCTTACATCTAATTCATATTAACAGGAAATTTGTATTTAAATCACGGAGGGAGTCTACATAGTTCATTTTCATTGATTGGCACTAATCACTGACGTTTATTGAATGTTTTAAAAAGAATAACATGGACCAGTTAAAATTACCTTGTATATATTTCACATACATCAGCAGAGCACATTAAACATAGTGTGCACACTGTTCAAAGCAAAGTAAGAAAAAAAGAGGCATTATTTTCCATGGGCCATTTTTATTAAATTCGTTATATGAGTGGTTGAAACTGAGGAAACCAAGTACATCATACAGTACATCATCACTCTCTTCACAGATTGTTAAACAAGTTTTTAGGGTGTAGGGACCGCTACTGTTTTAGAGTCATATTTCCCTGTCATTATGCTGTGTCTGTGTGTGTCACTGGGTGGTTCAAGGAAGACGGAAATGAAAGTAGAAATTACACTTTCTTTAATAAAGCAAACTCAGGAACAGGCAAACAGATGAGAGTGTGTATAACACAAACAATACCAAACACTGAACTGAAGACTGGCTGGAATTAAATACCCAATGATTAACACAAATGACAGGCAGCTGTGAGGAAGGTGATCAGTGTCCATGGATACAGATTAGTGGTGGGAAACTCGGACAGAGGAACACACGAGAAAACTGAAAGCCAAAAGAGTTTAATGGTCACAGTGTGGCAGTGCTTCAGTTATCAACATGAATGTGTGTACTGTATGCATGTGTTGGGTTCAGAGGGGGTTGGAAAGAGTTTATCAGTCTCGCTGCTGGGAATACTGTGCGTCATAATGTGCTGGTCTTTACATTGGGAGCCGGGATTTGGGACTATGTTATGTGGACTTTCCATAGATATAATGATTTTTATACTGTACAAACTGCATATTCTATCCTCTAACCCTACACCTAAACCTTTGCACACTGTATACGAAATTCGGATCTGAAATTTTTCTCACGTTAAAAAAATAATTACAACCTCACGTTTTTTTCAATCACGCTTACACTGCCTCAGAAACTTTCATACATCATGAAAAAATTCCGATCAGCTTCGTTTTTCTGTGTTTTTCGCATCTGTAGCAAAGATTTTGAAAGGTGTTTTGATAATTCAGAACCAGAGAATGATGAATACGAAAAAAACGCATGAGAACATTTCAGACTCTGAAACTCTGAAATTTCGGACTCGGATTTCGGACCTTAAAGCTGCAATACCTAAGATTTAGATGCCGCGCTACATTCAAAACAACAACAATGGCTTTGCTTGATGACGACGTGGAGGAACGCGGAATGATGGGAACTGTTGTTTTCAATTCCACCGTGGATAAATCAGTCAGACGGGAATCAAAAATTAGTTGTCATGGATGAGGTAAAGTTCGATTTCTATAAACGTTGCGTTTAATGACATGCTTGTTTTTCATTAAACTGAAATAACCGCAAGAAAAGTCAGGTTTAAAAGTAAATTAGTTACTGTACGAGTCACTAGACGAAGCTATGGTGGAGAGGGTTTGAAGGGGCAGGTCTCTTGCAAGGAGTTGACGTGGCTGGTCCTCCTTGGTAACTTTATAAAAATAAAAAAATCAATTTAATGTACATTTGACACATCTTTTCATGTCGTGTAAGTAACCACAGCTACAGTTTCACAAAATTAACGTTAAGGGGGTCGCACACCGGACGAGAAGCTGCAGCACCGCGTCGCGCCACATCTTTAAAATTCGAACACATTATTATCTATAAGTGTATACGGCGGCGCCATTTGGCGTCTGTCCGCGGCGCCCAGCAACGTCTCAGGACCGTGTTCAAAATCCTGCTGCGCCACAGAGCGCCATTTACATAGTTTTATATAAAATTTTAATTATTTTTGTCTCAAATCGTTGCTAATGGATCCTGACTTCGCCCTATGCTGCAATATGCATTTAGTTTTGCAGTAATTTACAGAAATCAGCAGCTTGAATGACAATTGCTGATGTTATCATTAGATTTTTCAGGTGAGATTCTCAATTAGGGTGGCCATACGTCCGGATTTTGGCCGGACAGTCCGGAATTTAAGCTCCGTGTCCGGCGTCCGGCGCAGCCTCAAGCTGGACACTCATTTGTCCTCCTTTTTGGAGTTGATCTGAATCGGCCAAAAAAAAAAAATGCTCTAGAATCTTTATTGAGACGCAGCAGCAGCATAGCGTCTAATGCCGTAGATCTCTAGTCATGGTTGCAGGGTTGCAAACTCTCACGCATTGAGCGTGAGTTTCACGCAAAATTGAGCCAATTCTCACGCTCTCATGCCACACCCCCGATTTCTCACGCTGAAGTGTGAATCCGGCCGGTCAAATCCCTGAAAGATGAGTTTATCTAGATCTACCTGATGAGCCACTCGTGATCGACTAGTTTTACCGCAAATTAGTTAAAAAAATACACTAATCTAGAGCTTAGCTCCTTACGGCACGGACGCAAAGCCAGGACTGGAGCAAAAGCCCGTTCCTCTCTGCACTCTAGTCTTAGTGTTCTGTTATCACTCCTCTCCAATCCACTACGGGTTTTCCAGTCTCACTCACAGGAAAAAACTGCTCCGTGTTCAATCTAATTTAAAAAAGATAATCTTATGTTTTATTTTTTTTTATATATCACACATGTCTGAATTTATAATACTATATGTAATGCTCTGGAATTCTACATGTTTAATAAATGTTCCAACTGCTTACACAAGGAAACAGTATGGGAAAGCGCACCCAGGTAAAAATAAGAATTTGACAAATTCTACAAACAATCTTAGTTTGCCAACAGTTAATAATAATAATAATACTAATATATATATATATATATATATATATATATATATATATATATATATTAGGGCTGTGCAAAAATTAATTGCGATTAATCGCATCCAAAATAAAAGTCTGTGTTTACATAATATATTTGTGTGTGCTGTATATAATTATTTTGTATATATAAATACCTATGCATGAATGTATATATTTAAGAATTATTTGCACTTAAATTCTGTATATAAAAATAAATACATAATCTATATTATATAAATATAAATATTTTATATATGAA